GGAGTTAAAATGCTATGTTCAAATGGATGTAGATATACTCTTCTCTCTCCCTCCGCTGTCTGACTTGCATGATAAGCATGCAGCTGCTCCTTAACTCTACAGTTTGTAGATCCTGACCTTTACTTTGACAGTTATTAGCCCTAATGCATATGGAAGTAGTTCATTTTAACCTGGCTATTTCTAATTGCACTAGTTATTCTGCAAAGTCACAGGATATCATGTAGTTGCTAACACATGACGGACTAATCATTTAGTCTCCCCGTGTCCTGTGACAAGGTGTTCCACAGCTTAACTGTATCAAACTACTACCTTTTGTTTTCAATCAGCTTTGCTAGTTCAATTTGATGCTTCTATTCATAGAGATCGATGTCTCAACTGCTTTGCCAGGATGAAGAGTTCCAGTCTGCTTCAGCCAGTTCGTGACTTGAAAGCGCCTTGCTTCCCTTCCCTGTACCTTTTTAGTTCTGTAACATTCTCCTGTGATGAAGAAACCAAAACTGCATGTAGTTCTCAAAATGGGAGCAACCATTCTAGTCCATAGAACAGTGAATCTCTCTCCCTCTCCCTGTTTGATTTGCCTTTCTGACTGAGTGCTGAACAACGTTTTATGAAAACCATTCACTGTAGCCCCAAATCTCATTTCTGACTGGGAACAGTCAGCTACTGAGGGCCTTTAAAGTTGGGCAGATGTTTCCCCAGGTACATCATTTTGCTTAATTTCATTGGCCATTTTGTTATCCAGGATTTCGTTATCCTCAGTTTACCAAGAACTGAGGTCCTCATGCAATTACTCATCAGCCCTGGTTTTCACTATTCTGAATAGTGTGGTATCATCAGAAGACTTTGTAGCCTCAGTCTTCAGGAAAAAGCAGCAGAGCTCAAAGGAAGGAAAATGAGCCTGTGAATGCCTGAAAGCTCTAGGCAGATTCAGATCTGTGAGCAAGGGCTGTTCTATTCACATGAATCTGACTTGTACTATCTGGACCAAATTGCTGGAGGAAATAAACATTTGTTTCCCGAGGATGTTCTATATAGCCTATATAACAGCTTCATAGGCTGTTTCTATGGTGTGAAAATGGTACAGCCCTACAGAGCATGTTATCTGCTCAAACCAAAAGCCAAATACTTCAGATGCAACTGTGAAGTGCTATTTAAATAAGAGGTTCCTGGAGCTCTATGTGCACTTTTGTCTGATTGAATAAGTATTCTGTTTCTTTAAAACAATATATGCTTCCTGCCTAATACCCCAGGCACAAAGATGAGTGGGGTGTGCTATGAAAGAGCAGTCTAATATAAGTAAGTGCAGAAGAAGCAAAGGCAAACTTTTTCTTCTGTCTTTGTTTCTATTCAATCAACAAGGAGAGCTGACTTGCTCCACAGTGGCTGGTGATGTGCAAAACAGCCCGTTAGAAATGGTACCATGTGAAGGCAGGTGGATGGTGCTGGCAACTTCAGGACTGTTGCCCATGAGGAAGCAAGTCACACAGACAACTGTGCCGCTCAGACTGCGGTCCCCTCTTCCCCTGGGAGCTTCCTGAATGCTCCTATCGATTTCAGTCTGACAGAGCTGGCTGATGGATGTGGGTTCTTTTGGCATCTGAAAGCTATCTACAAAACATACATATTGACTGGATCATCTTGGGATAGACTGGTGGGGTAAACTCATTACCGTAGGCCCCTTCTATAATGTAACAAAGCCTTTATGAGTCAATGGCCTTCCCATCCTAAAAAACACTTATTGTAAACTTTGGGATAAGGCTTCTGAAGAACTAGATGTCAGCAAATAAGCGTTTTGAACTAATGAGGCTCCTTGCAAAAGCAGCAAAAATACCTTTTGGCAAAGAGTGGTTTTAAAAATGAGTGGAAACAAAAAACACTAGACTCTTTCAGCAGCTACTGTGTTAAATGTTATGGTATCCACTGAAGCATGATTGCTGCTGTGCTAAATTTGCATTTGTGGGCACCATGGAATTTTCAATTACAGCTCAGCAATGTGAGCCTCCAAGGCAGTGACCATTAATAAAGGGTTCTGCTAACTGATCCATACCAGTGTTTTTGGGCATAGAGTGCTGTTGCTTCACTTGTCTTCTGCTGCATGAAGTCTGAAAAAGGGCAAGACAATCTGGAGTTAAAAAAAGATACTGGACGTATCTGCTTGCAGTGTATTAAAAATGCAGCATGCTAGCGCACAGGGTGCTTGTTGGTAGCCCCTAGAAGATGTGGTGCTGTTTGGCGTGTTGAACTTGCTGTGCACATTTATAATAACTAAGCAAGTGAGCAACTGGGGTAGCGCTTTCATGTTCAACAGCTTCTGAATTAAAAAGCCAGTCCAACTCATCAGTTCTTCTCTAGTTCAATGCTGTGTTTAAAACAGACATACCCAGTGGGGGAAAACAGTCATGTGCAGCAGCAGAACCTTTTGATAGAAAAGGGATTAAAATTAACATTTAAAGCAACAATCTTTTGGTTCTCTCCCCTGATGCAACTGTTTTAAATGTTAATTCTGATCCTCTTATTTCCTAGGCTGCTTTTAGCCTGGAAGACCCAAGAATTTATTTGCAATTCTAACCATTGCTTTAACAAATGGGAAACTCAGAGAAGAGTTATTGAAAGCCTGTAATTACTAGAAGACTGTCACACTACATCAGATCTGTGATGCTTCCTAGCACAGAAAGTGGGCAACTCCAAGTTTCAAAAGACAGAGTAAGAGATTAAAGGAGGCAGAGGTGGGGCACTCTGCCAGTGCATGTCACATTGAGCCTCAGTAGTTAGATGAATCCTCCTAATAAGATCATGATGTGCTCTGCTACAAGTCTGGATGATCTGAGTGCTCTTGAACCTGATAACCTCTGACTCCGTCATCCTTCTACAGCATCACTAATTCCTCAAGGGGACAGCTAGAATTATGCCTCCCTTATTGACAGCCAGAATAAAAAATACTGATGGCCGCACAGAGAAGCAGATGTATGCTACTAATTACAGCTAGCAACTTTTGTGTGCTAGTGTATGTCAGTGCTTCCCATGGCTTATTTGAATATGATCTCCAGATTAGGCAGTGAAAGGGAAAGTGCAGTTTGCCTTTACAGCTTGCTGAACGCGTGGCTGCACCAAAGGGCACCACAAAGTGAGGGGATACCTTGTTCCCCTGGCAGCTGCCATAACCCAGGCAATTGGGGCAGGGGTGCTGGCTGTATGTAGGTGACATAGGAACCACTCCTGTCAGCCTTAGGAATACTGAACGGGAGGAGTCAAGCCTTTTAGAGATGGAATAGGTTCTGCTTTCATGATGTTTTTCTTCTCAGCCTCCACAGGAGTTGGCACAGCCTGGTGTGCTACAAAGCACTCCCCACACCCCCGCCCCGCTTTGCTCAGAACATCTTTTAAGTCTTGGCAGGACTGGCTTAACTCTAAACGTAGATAGGAATAAACTCCAGCAAAGCTGGGGCCTCCTGCAAGGCCACTTGCTTGGGTCTGTCTGCTCCTGGCCTCTGTATGGGTATGCAGACTTTTACTGCATGATATTCCTGTGACAGACAAGTGGATGTGAAGTGGAGCACAGGGGCAATGTCCCATCCCGCAAACACAGTAGGAAAAAGAAGTAATAAGAAGTCTCTGAGATCAACACGGGAGTGATTTTTGTGGACTGGGAGGAAAGGCAACTGGAAACTTCCAGCACACAGGGAACACGTGAGCTTAACAACCACAGTGAAAGTGAAGAGGGTATTGATTGTATGATCAGCTCATCGCAGGGTGACTGTCAGCGAGTTCTGCGCTGGTGTTTAGCCTCTCCTTGCCAGAATGGAGCTACCTGAAACAGCCTCAAAGTTCAGCAACGTGACCTGAAGTGGCCACGTCGGCATGGATCTGAGAGCTCTTCTGGCTACACCTTGCTCCCTACGTAGCCCTGCTGCCATCAGGAGCTTTATGACAAAAGAAAACCAAGAGGTACACGTAACTGGAATATCTTCCAGACTGCTTCCAGACTCTGGGCTTTTCCAAGTGCTGGATCCATGTAGCAGCCTGCAAAGGGTGGAGCCCAAAGCACCTGTTTTGTCTTTTGGGGAAATCAACATAATACAGGAATGCCTTCTCAATGCTCTTTGGAGGTTGCAGTGCGCTCACTGTCATCGTAACTGAGGTCGTAGGACCTAATCTCTTGTGTAATGTAAGCTAATTGATTTCTGTGGGAACGTGATGCCTACGCACATTTTAAGATCTAGATTTTTAGGAATTCCAGCTAAGAATACAAAATCATTGTAAAATGTTTAAGGTCTTGTGTCCCTAGCCGAACTACGGAGGGAAATCTATGCTGTTAGCGCTTTGCTCAAAATAACATTTCAAAAAATCTGAAGAGAAAGAATCAGGGAGATAAAAGTAATAATTGCTAACGGACTTTCTTCCTCTGTGTAAAATACAGAAATGTTATTGCCCAAGTTGATTCTGCACTCTCTTGATATGGATGGGGTTATGATATAACGCAGATGCGAGCAGTTAAAATGCTTTCAGATGAAGGTGACAAAATCAGATTAGGGTAGTTACTTGGTGACGTTTCTTTCTTTCTTCCCCACCCTTCCCTAAATGGTGCTGCTATTTTATGGTAATAGAAATCCTTCTGGAGTTTTGCAGCTGATTCAGAGCTGCAGACCTTTATTACTCTAAGAAGAAGAAAAGGGGAGAGGTAACTTCTAAAATGAAATTAATTTAGCCACAGAATAAAGTATTTCCAAGACGCTTAATTTCTTGTCAGAGGACTTTCTGGATTTATGCCACCTAAAAATAAAATAACAGTACACAGTTCATTACTGTAGTTAATATTTTATGTTGCAATTAAACTGTAAGGAAATGTAATTGGATCTCGTTATACGAAAGCTGTTAATTAGAATCTGTCTTGGAATAGATTCTTCTAATAAAGAAATAATAGGCTTTGAATAAGTACTAATCTCCTATAATAAATCTGTTATACAGCTTATTCTTCAGGAACAAATAGTAACTAGCAAAAGATGAAGTTTATTGCCTTATTTTTCTTCTGCATGCTGATGAACATGCTAACGAACATGGTAACAGGTAAGATTACTGCTATATTTATTTTTTTTTTATTTTTTTCAAGAAGCCAGAAATACTTTGTTACTAAATAGAAGAAAATGAATTAGGATCAAATGTTGCTCGTGCACTAGTTGTAATTGCTCTGGCTGTTAATGAGCAGTATTTGCTTTATACTGCTGAATAACTGCAAACAAGGAATTCTTTATTCAGCTGTTTCAAGAAACAAAAAGTTTCCCTGCAAAGAGGGACCTATTAGTGCGTTAAAGAACTCACCAGCTTCTAGCTTTGCAGCAAACCTTTTGTAAACAGAAAACCCTTCTGGATGAGACCTGGTACTAATGAGTTTTCTGTTTGTTTACAGATGCCCGGTCAATCCAGGATGGAGATGGTAATTCTTATTGGTTTTTTTCTTTCCTTTGTATCACTAACAATCAGAAGAGTCATTTGTAACTCCCAGACCTGATCCCTAGCAGCGATTTCAGCAGG